TAAATTTTTTTGACTCCCACAACTGTCCAATTGCTTCTTGAAAAAGCACTTTTGGAACAACCATGACCTGGATGACTGAGAATCCCCATAGACATATTAGCATGCTAATGAGCTTTTCTGGAGCAAGTGGGGACTGATAGGGGGGGAGGGGCTGGGAGGCTGATATGGGGGGGAGGGGCTGGGAAGTCTTCAGACTTCCACCACCACCACCACCAAATATGGCAGAACATGACACATTGTGCTGCTTTTAATATTTGAGCTTGACACCTGCTAATGCCTCCTTGTTTTCCAGACTACATCCTCATAAAACTATGACCAGAGTTTCCAGAGCCACATCCTCCAAGTTTTCTTCTCCTTCACCTTCTGGAACAGAGCAGGGAGTCAGGAGGGGCAGTCTCTGTTTCCATCTTCCAAACTTCCTAGAAAAGGCTGCCTGGAGCAATACATTTGATCCAGATTTGCTCTTTGCAAAAAAAAAATATTTTTTCTGCTTGGGCAGGGGTGGTTGGACTAGATGACCTACAAGGTCCCTTCCAACTCTGATGATCTGTTAAATATCGCAGGAGATACATCAATATTTCTCCAAGAAATGAGAATGCAGGCTCAGACCAGAGATCATCGAGCTTCAGTATTTATGGGATTCCTAACAATTGTGCAATTAAGGATCGTGAGGAAGAGTGGGGAGGGGAAAAGGACAGCCACTCCCCTAGAAGATGGATATAAAGCAGTGGTCCCCAACCACCGGGCCCCGGACCGGTACCGGTCCGTGGATCATTTTTTACTGGGCCGCAAAGAAGTGGGTGCCGCCATCTTGTTTCGACGGCGCTTGAGAAAGTGCTTCTGGGTGAGCTTGTCGGTTGTCGGTTGGAAAGTGGTATTTGGGTGCTGAAGGAATCCTCGCGCCTTAGTTTCATCGTGGGGGGGGGGCGGCTTCGAACGAAGAGCCATCCCAATGGCAGTGGAGTCTCACATTAGGAGATTAAGAAAGAGCCCGAAAAGCCCATCGACAAAGGTACAAAGGAGGAGTTGAAGGTGGCGGGGAGAAGCCGGGGACGGCTGGCTGGCCACTCGGCTCGCCTTGCCTTGGTCCTGCGTGCTGATGCTGGTACAGGTCCGTGGATCATTTTGTGATGCCGGTACCGGGCCGCGGGACAAAAAAGGTTGGGGGCCACTGATATAAAGCCTTTAAAACATCCTCATCACCTGAAGCTTCTCAAACATCCAACTTCCCGGGAGGTCGGGGAAACGGGCTCCCCGTGAAGCACAAGGGGGGGGAAGAGTCATACGGACAGTCCTCTGGAAAGCAAGAGGGGGGGATCGTTCACTGGAAGGCTAGAGACACGTGTCACGGGGGTCGTGGGAAAACCAAGGGAGCTGTGGCTGGAGGAGACCTGTAGATTTGGGGCCTCGTCAAAACGCTGGTAGCCTGGGCTTTCCGTATCTCAGCAGTCGCTGCCTCCCCCAGACATTGCTTCGCTCGGGGATTACCTGCGACTCTTTGGGACACCGCCCCAGTTGAACACGGAAAGGTCTCCACAGTTACGCTGCACACAACCTGCGAAGCCCCTCCCTTCTTCTCCCTTTCCTCTTCAAAGGGTTTCTCGGTAGGGAGATTCTGCCCGGAGACAGATGACTCATCAAAAGGGAGGCTTCCCATTGGCGCAACCTATTCCTTGGAAGCCAATTCCGAAGTATCCCTCTCAAGCCCCCCACCTCCCCCCAATTCCACTTCTCCCCTCTATTGGGGAGGGGGCTTGGGGGGGAAGCCTCCATGGGCGCTCCGTCTGTTGCTGCTGCTGCTGCTGGTGGTGGAGACGTCGGCTGGGAGCCCTGCAAGCGAAGCGGGAGAGGGAAGGAGGACCCACGGTAAGGGTGGCGAAGCGGGAGAGACCGTTGGTGCTGCTGGGGGGCGGGGGGAGAGGTGAGACGTGAGCAAGGCGGAAGCATCCGAGACTCCTCCCCTTTCCTCTTGGCCACGCCCCTCCCAGTACGATTCCCTCAGACGGAGAAGCGGGAAAAGGGGTTCCGAGAGGAGTGGGCGGAGCCTATTCTGGCGGGAAGAGCGGGGAGACAGACGCCTCTCTGAGGGGAAGCGCCACCAACTGAGGGTGGGAGCCTTAGATGTCGTCAGGGACGGACTGGACTCCTCCTGTCTCTGGGTCAGTCACTGAATTGGGCCTCCTTCTGGTTCCCTCTTTTCCCTCAATGTGCCCCCTCAGTAATGGGTTCCCCTCAAGGGACCCTTTCAAGTCACCCCGTCACTGAGGCGAATGACTTAGAAGATCCCCACACTGGATCCCCTTCAAGCCCTCGGTCTCCATTCGCCCCCAAAGACCCTTCAGAATAATGGTGGTGTTTCTTTCAGGGCTTCATTTTCAAACGGAAAGAGTGGAATCGCTGGATCGACAATAAGGAATATACTGGACTTAACTCTATTAATACATTATTTTTAATGATATTAAATGGGAAGATAAATATAGACGCTGCTTGGACCCTCCCCGCTCTGACCCAAAGTACAACTCTTTAAAGGCCCCAAATACCTTCCAACTTGTAGAAAGAGGCAAAAGGCTGAAATTTTCTGGTTCCCCTTTGAGTCTTCTGTTGCAAAGGAAGAAGGTAATGTTGGCTGAAGCACTTTCAATGTTGCATGGATTATATCCACAGGTGTAAAATTACTTAATTAGGAAAATTTTAACAAAAATGCCAGGATTTTATAATCAAGGATTGTTCCCACATTTCAATTGTTTGCTTCTTTCATAGATAAATCTAGCTTGCTAATGCTTTTCTCATTCCACGGTTTTCAAAGCATCATTGTGCAATGTGAAACTGAGTCAGATGTGAACCCATTCCACCCCCTTCTAGCACTTTCTAACATTTTATTCCACTCTCCCCCCTCCCACATAAGTTCTACATATTCATCTCTTTCTTCCTTAAGCTTTTTTATTCAACATATAAGATGTAGGGCATCATTTACATTGCGCAACAACAGTTTCCAATAATTTATTAACTTTTCAAATTGAGAAAGTATCAGAGTGTGCAGCAATCCAACCAATACAGAAGTAAATAATTCAGCAGGATTCATTTATAGAAGCATGTATAAATATGATGCATATATACAATACCCATGCAGCTCTTTCAACGTGGTAGGAAAAACAAGGACAAGAAGCAGAAGCAACCAGCACCATCAGAACACAGAATCTTTATATTTATACAGACCAGTAACCTTAAGTCAAGCCCAGTCTCCAAGCCATCTGGCATGGCTAACAAGAGGTTCTGTTTCTTAGTCACCAAATAGTTCCCATTGGCTGACTTGTTATGTCTATCCCAGCTCATAATTTTTATATACTGACAGAAAGGTTGTTAACAATCAGGAAATACCTTTTTTACAAAGCTATATTAAGATAAAAAGCACAAAGTCACAATCATCCTACTACCAGTTTTCTCCAAAACCATAACAAAACTGAGGACCCCTAACACATCTAGTGTGATTGATCTTTCTAATCAACTTGATGTCACAAAATGAAATAAAGGAAATAGAGGAAAGGAATTGAGAAAGTGAAAATACAGTACTGATTTATCTGAGAAACTGAACAACGAATACTTTAAATCAGGCATTGAGTCCTTTTTAAAAAAAGAATTGCTCGTATTGTACACTGTTGGATCAATAAAACCATTTTTAAGTCCCTTTCAGTTAGGAGAATATGTTGTGGTTAGGTAGCAGCAGTGAAGAGGTTCCTGAGGAGCATATGCTAAGTGCACGTGAAGAGAACATCTGGAGCAGCACAGGTGACTCGTGAGTAAGAATGCAACGTAATGGCCCCTCCCTTCAGAGAATATAAGCCTGGTTTCAAAGGGTTTTTGGTTTTGCAGCATTATGAATAGAGACTCTGGACTATCTGAAGAATTCTGTCAAGGCTTTTCTGGTTGGACTAACTGGCTTCAAGCCATCTTTTATCTACAAAGAAGTTTATTTGTAGATTAAAGCTGTGAAGGTTTGAGTTGCTGCATTTGTTTGAGATTTTCTGGCTGGTAACTGGGTTGGGTCAGAACAGAATAGAACAGAATGGAACGGAACAGAGCTGGAAGAGACCTTTGAGGTCTAGACCAGCCCCCTGCTCAAGCAGGACACTCTATACCAGGGTGTAAAACTTGATTTCATTGAGGGCATCAGGGTTGTGTTTGACCTTGGGGGGTAGGGGGCATGTTGGGGGCACCTGTGGAGGCCTTAGGGCTCTGCCAGCAAAAACGGGCTCCGAAGGCCTGTTTTTGGCTATGACGGTCTCCTGCAACCCTCTGCCAGCAAAAATTAAGCTCCATTTTCACTGGCAGAGGCACTACGTCTTTTCACTGTATATGGGGGAAAATAGCTTAAATACCTTGCTAGAAGTTTAACGAAGGCCGATATTTTCAACATAATTAGAGCTAAAATGAATATACACACATACATTTTTCCTTGCTTTGCTTTGCTTGCATACAGCACCTCTTCACAAAGCCTGGAGGCTAATCCCAGACTCAATTCAGATGTTGATTATGCCTAAATAAAGAGTTTCTGACCAAGCTGAGGTTGTGAGGTTTTGGAGCAGTGAGAGGGGCAATTGTTTAACAGATCTTTTTGAGCAAGACCTTAACTGAATAGGTAATACCTCTGAAAATAAAAAATCTATTCTGGGAACGTCCCAAATCCATACATTTATTCAGTTGTTCCTATGGTGATAACTCTGAAAGAAGGAAGACTGTTCACCACATTTTTCCACAGATGTTATTCTTCTTATGCTCCATATCTTTAAATGGTTTCATATCCTAGTGGATCTTTTTACATAAATTAAGGACACTTCAGTCCCTAAAGGGATCACCTTCCCGTCCTGTTGTGAATAAGTTGATGGCTTTCCACAGGATATTTTTCTGCCTGGTCCTTTTATGTACACAGACTGTGGAAAGACCTTGGCTGGCAGTACGTCTCTGGCAACTGGAGTCAGATAGGTACAGAGACATCCAGGTTTTTCTCCTGTATGGATCCTTTTGTGGCATATCAGGTAACTACTAGTGCTGAAGCTCTTCCCATAGTCTATGCATTTAAAGGGGTTTTCTGCAGTATGCATCCTTTTATGGGAAGTAAGGGAACTCTTCACACGGAAACTTTTTCCACAATCCACACATTTCTAAGGCCTTGCCTTTGTATGGATCCCTTTGTGGAATTTCAGACACACACTGTGCCTGAAAGTCTTCCCACAGTCTAGGCATGTATAAGGTTTCTCTCCCTTGTGGAGCCGTTTGTGGAGGTCCAGGTACATGCTAGTTTTATAGCGCTTTCCACACTCCATGCATTTATAGGGCTTTTTCCCTGTGTGGATCAGCTTGTTTACGGATCCTCCTTGTTTATGGGAATCAAGGTCACAACTTCGCCTGAAGCCCTTCCCACACTCTTGGCATTTATAGGGTTTTTCTTCTGTGTGGATCCGTGTATGAGAAGTGAGAGCACCCTTTACACGGAAGCTCTTTCCACACTCCATGCATTTATAGGATTTTTCTCCTGTGTGGATCCGTTTATGACAAGCAAGAGACCTCTTTACACTGAAGCTCTTTCCACACTCCATGCATTCATAGGATTTCTCTCCTGTGTGGATCTGTTTATGAGAAGTGAGAGCACCCTTTACACTGAAGCTCTTTCCACACTCCAGGCATTTGTAGGGTTTTTCTCCTGTGTGGATCCGTTTATGGAGGATCAGGTAACTGCTGCTTTTATAGCTCTTTCCACACTCCATGCATTTATAAGGTTTTTCTCCTGTGTGGACCCGTTTATGGGAAACAAGCTCACCACTATGGCTGAAGCCCTTCCCACAGTCTAGGCATTTATAGGGTTTTTCTCCTGTGTGGATCCGTTTATGATAATTAAGTGCACTGTTTCCCCTGAAGCTCTTTCCACACTCCATGCATTTATAGGGTTTTTCTCCTGTGTGGACACGTTTATGGGAAATAAGGTTACCGCTTTGCCTGAAGCTCTTTCCACAGTCCAGGCATTTATAGGGTTTTTCTCCTGTGTGGATCAGTTTATGAGAAGTGAGAGCACACTTTACACTGAAGCTCTTTCCACACTCCATGCATTTAAAGGGTTTCTCTCCCGTGTGTACCCGTTTATGGATGATCAGGTAACTGCTGTTTTTATAGCTCTTCCCACACTCAATACATTCATATGGTTTTTCTCCTGTGTGGACCAGTTTATGAGAAGTAAGAAACCTCTTTACACTGAAGCTCTTTCCACACTCCCTGCATTTATAGGGTTTTTCTCCTATGTGGATCCTTTTGTGATATTTTAGGCACACTCTGTGCCTCAAGCTCTTTCCACAATCTAGGCACTTATACTGTTTTTCTCTGGTGTGGATCTTTTTATAAGAAGTTAAATTACCTCTCCATCCAATACTTTTTCCACGGTTCACATCGTTGTAGGGCTTCTCCCTTGCCTGGATCATTTTATGTGAAGTAAGATTATTACTACTGGAGCTTTTTCCAGTTTTGCAGTGGTTACTAACATCGGGGTTTGCTTTGAATATTTTTCTACTTTGACATTTCCCCGTATATTCTTTGGAATCATGTTGGGTCAGGAAATGATCCATTTCCACACATTCAAGAATAGAGTTTTCACTCCAATTGTGCTTCTTTTCAGGTTTCCTCCTTCCCCACTTATTTGTAGATGTCTCCTCAGGAATTTCAGTTTTGATTATTTGCAATGGCATTAAATTTGGCTCTTGGTCATTCTCCTTCTTCTGCGCATCAAATGCTTGTGGGGGGGAAGAAAAATAAATTAGAATAATCTACAACATCCACTTTAATGTCCCTATGCATAGATTTATCTATTACTGGGCATGTCCGGAGAAAGGAATGAGGGAAAAGACAGCATGGATATTAGTTACTAACTTAAAAGACTAGCATGGCTGCTCATCTACCCCCCATTCTTGGCAGTTAAAAAATTAAAGGAAAAACAAGTCTTGACATCAGGATGAGGCATGCAAATTGTCTCAACTATGACCCACCCAACTTGCATTCAATAAGACAACATATGTCATTGCAACCCAAAGCAATGCAAAATTTGTTGCTGAGTAGGACAACTGTAACAAGCAAAAACATCCTCTCCCTGATCATCTTCCCAATAACTCTGCAGTAATGACCCAGGGCTCCAGGATGACCACAAGTCTGAATGTCACCATAGTGATCTCTTCTAAATCAAACTGTGCTACTTAGAAGACCATGAAGGGGAACTGGAATTAATGTAAGAGGAAAAAAGAAGAGATGAAGTCATTTTAAACAAGTTACGCATAGATCTAAGTTGTAAATAATGTATCTAGTGACACCTTGCTCTGACGTAAATTTTCCTCCAGATGAACCTTTACCTAAAGAGGCCACCATCCTAGACGTTTCCAACATGACTTCTTGATACAGGGCTTTCTGGCTGGGATCAAGCAGCAACCACTCTTCATTGTTGAAATGGATGGCCACCTCCCCAAAGGACACAGGACCCTAAAGAAGAAAGAATCCCTATAAGAAGTCTCAACAGAGTTTGCAAGATCTCCTTCAATCTGCAAATCCTAAAAGCAGAAATGTCTATAGAGATTCTCAGTCATCCATGGTCACAGTTGCCCCAAAGGTGCTTTTTTCAAGAGCTAACTGGACTTTCTGCTTTTTCTTTGAAGACATTTTGCTTCTCATCCAAGAAGTTTCTTCAACAACCAGAAAGTCCAGTTGCCTCTTCAAAAAAAAAAGCACCTTTGGGAGTAAAAGCCAAAGTAAAAATCCTTGATTGGACATTTCCCTAGGTGGACTCAACACATATGATAAAAAGGGCAGAATTCATAGCTGACAGCCAATTAGAGCGTGTTTTATCACTTTTACTGACTGCTGACCTTCAATATCAACCTGCCTTGATCAAGTGGCATAGTGTCCCTTAGACATATCATCTACCAGTGCCCTCAACGTTTCATCATATTTGCAAGAGGTTCTGTGAGATTTCTGTTTGACATAGTAACCAAATGGTCCTTGCGATTCTTTAAAGTGTCAGCCCTGCTCACACTCATGAGCATTTCAATTTAACATTTTTCTTAGGTTTTTGAAGTATAAAATACAAAGAAAGAAAAGCCATGGAAAAGTAAGAAGAGAGGAAGGGAAAAAGAGAGGATGACATGGCCAGCAGGTGACATGCCCAGAGAATCTCCTTTCTCTGGACAGTCATTTTTCCAACTTAACAGGGGGAGCAGGACTCCTTTTGTCTGCTTGACTTTTTTTTTTAGTAAATTTTTATTGGTTTTTAAAACAAACATAAACAAACAAAACATAAAAACATCAAATCATCTTCCATATATGTACACATAGTGTGCCAGTTGGTTTACAAATTGTTTTGTGCTTCCATTTCAGTCTTCAATTATAATTACATTGTATATAATCTCGTATTTTCAAATCAATATATTAAATACATTAATATCATTATTAATCATTTGACTCTTGGTCATTCTGTGATTTATTTATTCATTCATGTTTTCCAAAATGATCATATTTTACTTAATTTGTTTTATGTCAATTCAGATTATCATCCCAGATCTATCCTAGAATCATTTTGTAGATATAATAAGAAAAGAATACATCTTTATATATTTATTATTTTCTAAAAGTCTACATATTTCATTACTTTATTTTATTGTCTAACTATTGATAGAATAGATCCCAAATTTTATAAAATTGTTTATCATCTTCTCTAATTTCAAATGTCAATCTACTCATTTCAGCACATTCCAATATTTTCTTGATTTCCTCCTGTGATGGTATTTTCTCATTTTTCCAGTCTTTAGCAAATACAATCCTAGCCGCTGTAAATACATTTACAGTCAGGTATTTCAAGTCTTTACTATATATTTCAGGTAAAATTCCCAATAAAAATATTTCTGGTTTCAAATCTATATGCTTTTTTGTCATTTTTTCCAACCACATGCAGATTTTAGTCCAATATTTTTTAGCATCTGCACAAGTCCACCACATACGGTAATATGAGCCAGGTATCTGATGAAATTTCCAACATTTTTCAGATTTATTCTTGAACATTCTTGCTATTCTTGTTGGGGGAAAGTACCACCTGTAAAACATCTTATACAAATTTTCTTTATATGCTGTTGACATTGTCATTTTGTAATTTTGAGACCACAATTTTTGCCATTTCTCTAGATCAATCCCATATCCAAAATTCTTCCCCCAAGCAATCATAGTTTCTTTAACTTGTTCTTCTAGTTTAATTTCTAATAAATATCCATACGATTTTTTAATCACCTTTTCATCAGTACCTGTCAGAATCTTATCTAAATAAGTCAATTTATCATAGAATCCTTCTGTTTTAAAATCTTCATCATACCTTGAATATATTTGCACATATGAAAACCAATTCATCTTTATACCTTGTTTCTCTAAATTTTGTTCAATGTTCTCTGTTCTCTTTTCAATATTCTCTGATCTTGTTTGAATATTTTGAATTCCTTGCATAATCATCTGCAGAGTCACTTGTTCTTTTTCTCGTCTTAATATTGTCTGTATTGAACACTGTCTTCCAGATGGTGGAGAGGAAGAAGTGGAAGTTGAAGAACCAGGAGCTGTTTATTTTTCTACTCATTTTGAGGAGTTCAAAATCTTCAGGTTCTTCTAGACCTTAACCCAGTTGTAAAATAACCAATTGCAGTTCCAAATAAAAATAGTAGGAAAAAAATAGGAAAATAGTAAGAAAAGAAAAGCCAAATAGTAATAATAATAAAAAAGAAGAAATTTCTTCAGGTTCTTGTATACCTTAATCCAATCGGTTGGTTAAATGACAGTAAAAATTCAAAAATGAAGGAAAAGACCATAAACACACCATGAACACACACACATACACAAAATTGTAAAATCCTAAAAAAGGCGAAAAAGTGAAGAAAAAGGCTAAAAAAGAAAGGAAAAATTCTTCAGGTTCTTCAACACCTTAATCCAATTAAGAGGTCTCAAATATAAAAGTATGCATAAAAATAAACCAAAAAAAAGAAAAAGAAAAAAAACCCAATATGGAAGGTAGATGGAAAGACAAAAATACCAGGAAGGGAAAGAGAAGAAAAAGGCTACTCCCTTAAAAAGAAAAGGAAGGGAAGCATTAATACTAAAGCTTTTCCTTTAAAATAAAAAGCAGACGTAGAAATTTACGTCCAAATACAAGAAAAAAACAAAACAAAGACAAGTTCCAGACAGCCAAAAATCCAAATAGCTATTGCAAAAAAAAGTAAACTGATGGGGGTGGGTAGCACAGCTCAAAAAAAATAAAAAGAGCACACTGCACTTTGTTTGATTATCCATGGCTCTTGTTTTAACTCTCTTCTCCAAAGAGTTATCACCTTTTCTTTTCCTAAGCTTCAACACCAGATTCCAGCTGTTGATAGAAACCCAGAAGAGCACCTGTAATAATACTCTCCCGCGCTCTTCCCTCTATCTTATCAAGCAGGCAATGTCCTTGAAACAAAGTCTCACTTCTTTCTCAGCTTTGTCTGGTCAAAGGAAAAATAGAATATTTCCAAGCCTCTAGTTGGCAATGTTACAAAGTTTCTTTAGCTTTCACTTTCCCCCTCCTTTTCCAAGCAAAATATAATAAGAATTAATTTAAAAAAAAAATATTTAAAAAATAACTAAAAGGGAGTCTCTGACTTAAAATTTTATAAAATCAAAAAGGAGAGAAGAATATATAAAAAGAAAAAAACCAGTCCAGTTTCAAAATATAAGATCATGTGTAGGAAATCAAGCAACGAGAAAAAAAAAATTACTTTGACATTCCTTTTTAAAATCGCCGCTTAATCACTTCTGTTAAAACTTTTACAGATTCTTTCTTTCCCTGAGGGTGTCCTTTCAAGTCTTAAAATAAAGAAAAACTTCTCACCAAACCGGCACACTCTCTCTTTCCGTTCTTTCGTTTTGGAGCTGTCCCAACTTCAGCAGCTTTAATGGCTGCCTCTTTGCCGCTGGCAAAAAGAGCTTCTGGATCTACCAGGGACTTTGCAATATCCCTGGGATTGGCAGGATGCGCTCTTTACATTCACCGTCTCTTCGGGACGATTTAGATCCACTTGGACCATCCAGGAGCAAAGATATAGGCGGCGATCTCAAATCTCTAAGATCGCATGCCGTATCGTCGCGACGCCCGCAACGCCCTCTCCTGTCTGCTTGACTTTCTGAGGTTAAGGAATGTCCCAGAATCATCCCTCAAGATCCTCCGATAACAGCAACAGCCTGCACGCAGTTTTAGGAGCTGAGCTTTCAAGATAACTGGGGAGCTGAAGCTAGGAGCTGGGGTCAAAACCACATTGTTGTTGAACAAAAGAGCCATTTTGGCATTTATTTTTCAAACGGACAATAAGCTGTGTCCTTCATTTCTTTTTATTTTTTTACGTTTTTATTTTATAACCTGTAAAAGTTTCAATTTCAGTTGAACAATGTGGTGCCTGGGTACATGTTATTTAGAAAATAGTGATCTAAACATTTACAACCGTATTAATTCTATGATAATATTTACTTATCCATTTTAACAATCCTTCTTATAACACTAGTTCTTTTCTTACATTTCCATGTTTGTAACTTTTGTTTTAATTGGCCTACCATTGATAAAACAGGTCCCATGTCAAAAAATATTCAGTTTCCTCCTTTTCTTTAATTATCAATGTTAGTCTATCCATTGCTGCATGTTCTAATACTATCTCTCTCTATAAAAATTGCTGTGTGTGTGTCTGTGTCTGTTCCAGCATAACTCTGGAACGTCTCAAGCAATTTCAACCAAACTTGGCACACAGATTACTTACTCTCTGGAAACAAATACTGTGGGGATAAGACACCCCTAACACCGCTTGGGGTGTGTATTCTATTAAGATACAGCCTGTTGTGCCTTAAAATGGCTTCTACTGTACTGCCTTTGTGGTAATATATTTTATTCTGCAAGTCCTTGTATAGCTTTGCATAGATCTAGGGACTAAAAAATGTCCCTGGTGGGGGCATTTTCGCCTGCTATGGGTGTTTTTGTCCTGTTAGGACCTGCGAAGCTTAGAGGACCAGATATATCGGTGAAAGGTCATAGTACATAGCCGAGCCATTCCCATGGGAATTTCCGCAGCTGTATACTCTCATCCTGTATATCCTATGGAGATAACATCCTGTTGAGGTCACTTGTTTTCTGTATATGCATTTTTGTTCTCAATAAAAGCTGGTACCTGGGTTTACTCGGGGCTGGCATTTGCTCAGACGTTTCCCTGCGTCTCATTTTCAAATGCCAGACCACCACAGCCTTAAAGGGCTTCTACTATACAGCGCTGTGGAGTTGCCATGGTAACAGCTTCACAGTACTCCACAAGGGGGCTCTCTCTGGTAAGGGGGAAAATCCAACATTAGAAATTATGTTTTTTTCTGGACATTTTCAACAAGGCTTTGATTATTCTTTTTTTTTTGAAAACAATTTTATTGGTTTTTTTAAAAACAAACAAAGCATAAAAACATCAGCTCTCTTCCATACATATATACAAGCACTGTGTCGGTTGGTTCATCAGTTTTGTGCATTCATTTCGTAGTCTCAATTATGGTTATGTTACATAATAACTCATATTATCAATCCAAACTTATATGTCCTCATATCATTATTAAAAAATCATTTGACTATGATTTTATTCATTCATACTTTATGAGATAACTATAATTTAGGTAGTTTATTCTATAACAAATCATATAATCATACCAAATCTATCCTAAAAAACACTTTATAGATATGATGTCAAATAACAAAAGAAAAAGAAAAAACAAAGATATTCCTTATTATCTAACATTCTAAATATTCTATTATTGTATTTTATCATCCAACCATTGATAGAAAAGGTCCCAAATTTTATAAAATTGTTTATCCTCTTGCTCTCTAATTTCAAATGTCAATCTACTCATCTCAGCACATTCCAATATTTAGGCTTTGATTATTCTTGAGGACAAATGTATGGCCATGATCAATAAAACATTACTGCAACTTGGCCTGCCTGCACCATTACAAGACTGACATGACGTACTTCATGCAGATTATATACAAGAAAAGAACTACAATGTCAAACAGTTTACTGCATATATTGCGGACAAGAAGATACTTCTAAATCAAGATCATAAAAAAGCATACCAAATGATCATGGATTAGGTAGCATTGGGTTTTCCGTTCCATGTGTGGAGTGTGAAGGATGTGTGTTTGTGTTTATTTTGATGGTCATGATGTGCACTGAAGATGGTGTTTGATTTCATTGTTTGAGGTGCAGTGACGCTTCTGGGGCCACAGGGAAAACATTTGTATAATTTAATTGTTGCTGAAGTCAGGGCTTTTCCTGTCTAGTTGTTAATAATAATATTAATATTATTAACAATAGTAACATGGCTGAGAATTCTTCAAGAAAAAAATGACATGATAGCTATTTCATTGAGGGGATATTTAATCAGGGAAGATTTGCTGCAGACCAATTTACGTCTAACAGAACAACTTTGGGACTTTTTTTTTCAAGGGTATAAAAAAAGCTGAGAACTTTAGGAAAGGAGACTTGATAGACTCTCCCGAGAAGAAAAAGACCCTATTCTATGAACATAAGCTGGAGAGAGTGACTTTAATATGGTTTAATTAATTAGGATGGAATTTTTTTAAAAAAATGATATATGTACTGTTAGAAAGCTTTGTTTTGTATTTTTAAAATGAATATGTATTTATACCCAGGTCTGCCGAACAACATCCTAAAGTTGGTAAAATATTATGGACTAGATTTGAAAATATGAGAATGAATGATCTATTATTCCCTACATCAAGGAGAAGCTGAGATAGTGAAAATGATTATTTTCTCCAAATAAGAGATTATATTTAATTTTGTCTCAAGCTTGAAATTGCTTTTGAATTTTCTGTTTGCAATGAGAAAAAAAAATGAAACTTTGTGTTTTTGTAAACTAGACAGGCTTATTGTTATAATTTGTGCATACTGTTGTGTAAAAAGCAAAAAGTTGTGGTTGGAATGTTATTATCTTCGACTGTGCCAAAGAGAATTGGAAGTAGATGCCTTTGCTCCTCCCCCATTACACTATACCCCCTCTTTTCCCCTTCCTCTCTTCTTACTTTTCCATGGTTTTTTTCTTTGTGTTTTTTATACTTCAATAAAACTAATAAAAAGGTTAAATTGAAAAAAACACACTCATGAACCTTCATGAAAATACTAGGGAAGCACTTCCAGGCATCAAGATGTAGATGATACACAAAGCAATTTCTGCTTCTCCTGTCTTTATCCCTTTCTCCAATGATAGGAAACCAAGATTACACTTACAATAAACTAGATTTAGCCTAACTATTCATCTCCTTTCTGCTTTATTTGACACAGGCCACATGAACTGCCATGTGGCATTTTTTGAAACAAGAATTATACAACCACTAAGGAATTCCACACATCTTCAAAACTTTGTTGAGAGGTGGACCAGTTTGACTGTTCACAAATTTAAATTTCTAATTCTAATTTCCTTGTGCTTTGCTCAGGAATAGCAGTAGCATATGTTGAGTCCCCAAAGGAAACTAAGTCTCCTATTGCTCCCTCATATAAGCTGCTAATCTCTTCCTTCTTACCTGAATCAGGAATCCAGCGGCTCTTTCAGCTTCACCAAAAGGAGGAGATGATTCAGTGAACAACGGTGACTCCATTTTGTCTACTGGGAAGGAGAGAGACAGGATGGAAACAGTTCAACTTCATTTTTTTCTAGCTTGAAGGCACAAATTAAGAATTTCTTCCTGTCCTGCCCAGGAAACCTCCATTTTTCCTCTTCTTCACTGCCTTTCATAGGCTCCATCATGGGAGCCAAGAATAAAAGGAGAAGACCAAATGCACTATTAAGTATGGGAAATAAGAGGCTGAACCAGGGCTTAGTGCAACAAGGTTTATTTACAAGGACTGAACGTGCTTGCTCAGCCTGGAACTGGCTCGCAGCGAACAGCGAAAGGGCTGGACCCAGCAGCCTGCTTTTATAGCAGGCTGCTGGGGAAACCCAGCCAATGAGAAGGGGCAGCCGCCCCTGCAGCGAGAACGGACCTGGGTGGGAACTTCTTCAAGGTCCAGGGACATAACACCCCTTCCCCCCAGATGCGAACACGCATAGTCCTTGAGGTATACGGGAGGTTTGTGCTGACGTCCAGAGCGGCGCAACTCTGGTGTGCTGTTTGGTGGATCAGAGTCCGTCGGTGACTGTTGGCTCGATGATGAGTCCTGAGTACCACCCTCGGTCGGAGCAGGTCCGGGGCTAGAAGGGCTGGACGCTGGGAGTGTCCTCACGCCGTCTGGCTCGGATGGGTTGGACGCTAGGTCGCCGCAGTCAGCATTTGGATTCTCTGGTCCGGCTGAAGGTGTTAGCAGGTCATCGGGGTAGATATTGCTGTGTGGTAGTTGCAGCGGACTCTCACCAGTCTGTGCCCACGAGTCGCGGCTGACGAGGGTGCCCTGGCGTCTCCGAAGCTGGTCCAGATGTCGTCTCCAGACCCGGCCATCTTCCAGCTTAACCCGGTATGATCTGGGTCCTGTGATGGCTACGATTTCTCCCGGGATCCACAATGGGTCGCCAGCGAAGTTTCTCGCGAACATGGGTTCCTGCAAGACAAAATGCCTACTCCCCGATGTGGAAGCGAGAGGAGAGTCAGGGCAGTAATGTGGGTGAAGCCTGTCCAATACAGTTCGCAGGCGTCTGCCCATCAGAAGCTCGGCCGGGGACTTGTTGGTTACCGTGCAAGGGGTTGAATGCTGGCTTAACAGGAAACAGGATAGTTTGTGGTGCCAGTCATCCTTGTTGAACCTGGCCAGGGCTTCTTTAGTGGTCCTAACGGCTCTCTCTGCCAGCCCGTTACTGGCAGGATGAAAGGGGGCCGTGAAGATGTGACGAATGCCCAGGTTGGCCGTAAAACGACTGAATTCGGTTGACGCGAATTGGGGACCATTGTCGGAAACAATGGAGTCTGGTAGACCGTGCGTAACGAACAGGCGAGTCAATGCTTTGATGACTGCTTGTGAAGTGGTCGTGGATAGTTGTGCCACATCAATCCACTTTGAGTAAGAGTCTACGACCACGAGGAACATTTTGCCATGCAATGGGCCTGCGAGATCGATGTGAATCCTGGACCAGGGTGCGTTGGCACTTTCCCACTTGGTGGGGGTGGCAATTGGAGGGGATGGACGGGAAACCTGGCAGGGATGGCAGGAGCTTACCCATTTGTTGATGTCCTCGTCGAGGCCGGGCCACCAAATGTAGCTTCGCGCCAACGCCTTCATTCTGACGATGCCCGGGTGGCCCTCGTGCAACGCCTCCAGCACTCGGGTACGCAGAGATGTCGGGATGACCACTCGAGTGCCCCACAGCAGGCAGCCCTGTAAGCTCGATAGTTCCTGTAAGCGGGTCTTAAATGGAGTGAATTTAGCTTCAATGTCACTGCCCGGCCACCCCCTCCTCACCCAGTCCAGTACCTGGGCGATCGTTTTGTCCGCTTTGGATTTATTGGCAATATCAAGGGCCGTGATTGGGAGGTCCAGTTGGGTGACTTCAAAAATGGCGTTGACCGGGGCAGGGTCTTCAGCTGGGGCAGGCAGGGGGCAGCGGCTGAGGGCGTCTGCGTGGGACAATGTTTTACCTGGGCGGTGCACGAGTCTATACGAGTATGCTGCTAGGAAAAGGGTCCATCTGGTCATTCTGGGGGACAGAATTTGAGGGGTCTGCTTGTCACCTGCTAGTAACCCTAAGAGCGGTTTGTGGTCCGTGACTAGCTCGAAAAAGTGGCCAAAGAGAAATTCGTGAAATTTCTTCACCGCTGCAACAGCTGCCAAGGCTTCTTTATCGATCTGACTGTAATTGCGCTCTGTTGCAGAGAGCGTCCTGGAAAAAAAAGCGATAGGGGCCTCGGAGCCATTGGGGAGCCTGTGGCTTAAGACTGCCCCAATTCCGAAGGGAGATGCGTCTGCTGCCAGTACTAATGGAAGGTTGGGGTCAAACTGGATAAGCACTGCCTCTGATGTGAGTAGCGACTTGACTGCGCGGAAAGCGGAGTCTTCTTTGTGTCCCCAATGCCAAACCGTTTTTTTATCCAGAAGTCTGTGGAGGGGTTCTGCCACAGAGGCTTTATGGGGCAGGAACGACGCGTAAAAGTTCAAGAGCCCCAAAAAGGCCTGCAGTTCCGCTTTGGAGGTTGGAGTGGGTGCCTCGTGTATTGCCTTAACCTTGGACTCCAGGGGGTGAATGCCTGAGGCGTCAATTTTATAACCCAGAAAGTCCACCTGTCTAGTGGCAATGGCACATTTTTCTTTTTTTAACTTGAGGCCATGCTGCCTGAACCTCTCTAGGACTGCTCGAACTCTCTGGAAGAGTTGGGGTCTGTTCCTGGCCGAGACTAAGATGTCATCAAAGTAGGGTACTACTCCAGGAAGGCCCTGTAAAATCCGCTCCATGAGGGATTGAAAAATGCCTGGGGCAACACTTACGCCAAACTGGAGACGCTTGCACCGGAAGGCACCCCTGTGGGTGACAATGGTCTGAAGTTCTGCCGTTTGGTCATCAACAGGGAACTGTTGATATGCTTGAGACATGTCCAATTTGGCAAAGATGGTGCCAGGTTCAAAAGTATGTAATAAATGCTGAATGACAGGTACTGGATAAGCGCTAACTTGCAAGAATTTATTGATTGTGGTCTTGTAGTCTGAGCAAATTCTCAGGCTACCATCTTTTTTGAGGGGTGTGACGATGGGCGTCTCCCATTTGGCGAAGTCTGTAGGCTCCAGGATCCCTTGTTTTAGTAATTTATCTAATTCAAGGTCTAATTTAGGCCGAATGGCGAATGGAACTCTGCGAGGTTTTAACCGAATTGGGACTGCCTGGGGATCGACTGAAAATGAGATAGGGGTGCCGTTATAACACCCTAACTCATCACTGAATACGTCTGAGTAATCAGCAAACAGGGAGTCCGTGTCAGAGGTTGAGGTAGCATGGACTCCTGTTAGCCCTAAACCGAGGTGGGGAAACCAATCAAGTCCCAAAAGTGTAGGGAGGTTGCCGCTCACTACCACTAGAGGTAGGTGGCCCTTAAAGGTTTTAAAATTAACAAAAAACTTGCCTCTGCCGATTACAGGAATGGTCTTCCCCTGGTAGTCCTTTAGGCTAAGCTGGCACTTCTGGAGTCGGTTTCTTGATAGGCTGGGTTGAAGCTCCTTGAGGGTGTTCCAGGAAATAATGGAGAGCGCTGACCCCGTGTCAACCTCCATGTTGCAAGGTTTACCTTCTAATAAGACGGAAAGAGAGATTTTACTAATAGAATAGCAAGTTTGATTAGTGCGGCAG